TCGACTGTTATATGTTCGTACACAATACGAGGAGTAAGGTTGTGATCCTTCCGATCATATTACAAAAATTTGGACAACGTCATTTATTATAAAAACGTTACGTTAATACATATATTAACTTTGATAGATAGAAAACTAATGATAACAATAATAATAACTCAACTTCTTCCTCGGAAGTATAATTTATTTACTTCTCTGCCGGGAAAATTCGTTAGGTTTTTAAGTATTATTACAATAAACGGATAATACGGATGAGTAAAAACATTAATGAGGTTATGTTCGTGACGTTTGTCCGTCATATTTAGAAAAATCTCAGCAGGCAGCTCTGGTCCCGATTCTCTATAACCACAAACTGAAAATACTCTTCAATTGACGCGGGTAAATCCCATTTGTAGGATTTCTTCAGGAAATCATATAATCCCAGTGTCACATGTGCGCAAATAATATAGAGACTGTGACTAGGTTTTACGTCATTACGATTCGTGAACGTAATGGCTATTTAATTGCCATACACATCTGTCGTATCGCGCGTTACAGTTTTTACATCTTTATTATGTCGTAAAAACTCTTATCGAATAATACAACGAGAGAGACGCCTCTGTTCCCTTGTTTCGTGGAGGTGAGAAAAACAGCACTTTATTACGAAAACAAGAACTACGTCGCAAAAGCAATACGACAAACTCATCATTTTACAACACCTGTGGCCAAAATATCAAAAAAGTGGGCCCGGAATTATTAGACGAAACGAAAATGTATAATACTTCGGCTTCTGTGCCAAGTGCGGACACCAAGTTGTGTCATCTTGTTGTCATAGTTTAAAAGTAGGATTTTTCATCACGGTATGAAGTATATTATAAAAGTGTGGTACTGACATTATTTAACTATATAGATAGTTAACAAGTCGCATTCGCCCTAGCATTAGCAATTTGCTGAGCTCAAATCCAGTGCCGGAACAAATAAAATTGTTTATGAAATAACATTTAGTTTATTGATATTTAATTTAATAAATATAACTAAATTACATGCTATCTAATAAACCTACCAACGTCCACGCGGCATTGTGCCAAGAACGCTAGCTGCATTTTCTCGCTGAATAGTTATCCTTAAACTTTGAACGAGAAAAGAACCAGCCCTATTGACACCAGCCGCGGCGGTGAGTGATCGATATATGCGTGGTCCCACGGAACTAAAGTGTCAAAAAAAAATGGCACAAATACATAATCTGGACAAAGAGACTAGTATTTGCGAAAGTTAAGAGCCGCCGTGGATTTGAACCGGCGTCGTCTGAATTGTGTGCCTGTTGAAACACGATATAAAAAAAGCACTAAAAAAACGACATAAAAAACCTTACGTTCACTTTTCTACAAATCTTAAATTTCATATTAAGGGCAGAGTAATAGTACGTAAAAATTATTATAATTTTAACGCATTATATGGTAATAACAATAGTATAAATATTTACAACGACAAACACCTTTTGATAGAGACCGCAAATCAAACTCTATGTGTGCCCTGAGCCTGATTTGCGGTCATTTCTGGTCTTGCTTTTGGTCGCAGTTTGAGTTATTGGATTAAACGAAATAAGTAGATATTAAAAATACAAACCTTTAGAACGAAATAGTATTTTGTATGCTCAAACTAACAAAACCGATCATACGATGGTATGTAGAATAAAAACAAATGTGAGTTTCCCATGAAAATGTATCCTTCTTTATTTTTCTTTATTGTTGAATTCAGATATACATTGAATTATCATGCAAACAAAATGAAAAGTTTTGTAATAATTCATAACGTCGACGGAAATGTCTTTTATATTAAATAGAAATTATTTTTTAAGCCGCGGGATATATTCAATTTTTAAGAAAAAAATTATTAACTTTATATTAACAGCGTAGGTACATACCTATATGTATTTAGGTTTTTACGATACTAAAGATCAACAGTTAAAATTGCAATAAACAATTTCACTGGAAATGATGTCTGAATTCTTATTCAGATCGCCCGAGTATTCATTCAATTAAAAGAAAAAACAACCTTAACATTTATAATACTGGTGAAAAAATTGCAATATTTTCACCAGTTTTTTTTTAATATATCGGGTAACTTAATGGTTGCAATATTGATTTAAGTATAAAAACGCGAAATCCAGTTAAGTACTCGTTTTTAAGTTACGGATAAAGTTGATAAAGTTTTTATGTCATTATATAAACAAAAATCACCAATTTGTATTTTTACGAGTGTCCATAACGTCATAACTCAATTGACAAAGATAACACAGTTTACATTGATAACTCCGTGACGCAGTCGCCATGGTCGTCTTGGGTTCGAATCCCAAGCAGGACAAGTTGTGTGATCAGCACATAGTTGTTTCGCATCTGGGTATTTGTCCACGTGATATTTATAATTGTAAAACGTCCTTACAACAAGAGATAATAGCCTAAAGTAAGGGCAATGTTTTAAATAATAATTGCGTTTATGTGATCGTTACTAAAAGATATTCTATCGAACTTTGAATTAATATTTATCACTGAGCTGGGCAATAAAAGACCATTAAATGCCGATTAAATACAAATTCTTACGTTTCCCGAGCTCACAACTTTGTTTGATTCACAACAACTCTAGTTCAACAGATAACTGTTTCGCATCTGGGTGTTTGTCCGCGTGTAATTTATGTATGTAAAACGTCCTTACAACACAGGATAACGTTATCCTAAAGTGAGGCCAATGTAAAAAAATAAAAAAACTCTACGGGTCGACAGAAATAGCGAGGGTTATAAACATTTCTGGGTATAATAATACTATAAGACCTAAATGTGACAGGTGGTGAGTTTGCCGCCGTTCAGACAGCACAAACGCGAGATATTTCCTTTACGCATAATTCGTTCATTGCATTTGCAGAAACACGTAATTCTTGTTGGGATACAGTGGACTTCTGCTAGTACGAAATTCCCGAGAGAGGGAAAACACATTACGCACGGCATTAGAATTCGTACCAACGCTCCCAGATCGCGAGTACACGTGCTAGACCACTAACGCCCGTCATGTTGGTACATTCTTCATCTAAACTAAAGACTTCAAATGCCTCACTCACTTTACATTTTCCATTTGATTTTGAGGAGTTCCCTTGTATCTATCCTATGTATGTATCTTTGGAATCCAAGGTTCAGTACCAAGGATATTATGGGAGCCAAAACGAACCAATGCAAAAAGAATTTTCAAATGCGGTTCGTAATTGATTGAGCTCTGAGTTTTGACTTTGACTTAACATAAAATCGTACAATCGTACAATTTTTTTTTTAAGTGGGCTGCAATATTATTACTAAATCAACGCAAAAGATCTGTACATATCATATATTGTAGCTGTTTGTTCTCCCCAATAAAATAAAATAAAGTCGGTTGAAAGTTTAATCATTTACTCCGTTAAGTCTGCGCATCACATGACATTTCAGAATTACTAGTATGGTTTGTTTTGTAATTCAATTAGAAACAGACGCGTTGTATTTTTTTACCATAAAACGGGTATTCCTACACACTTGTTGAGTCTACCATACTACCAGTTGGGGCAGTAGTCTACCAGTTGGGGCAGTAGTCTACCAGTTGGGGCTTACCCCATTACATAATCACAGTTATTGTAGTTGGGAATCATGGGTCAATTTAAGAACACGTGAAATATTTGTGGTAAAAACGTAACGATGTACGATTTAAAGCTATTGACAATAATTGAAGATAATTAAGTGACATAATAGCTGTAAGTAATTATCTAGATGCCCTCTTCGAAGTTAACGGTAGAGTTCACGAATCTGTTGTCACAAGCGCTGCTTTCGAACCGAATTTTGAGACCGTTAATAAAAGTCTGATTTTTCGCGGGAAACCCCCTTTATGTATTTACAACCCGTCAGCTGCTTTACACGAGGCGGGGATAACTCACCAACAGATCACAGCCTGTTCTGATTGCTCCCTTCGCTGTGTCAATGTGCATATATGCGTAATTTTCTCAGTACAATTCCATATAACCACATTCATCAGTATTTTGTGAAACATTAATTATTTTTTTTTTTTTATCGTCATCATCATTTCAACCTGTTCTAGTCCACTTCTGAACATATTCTTTCTCTACAGACTGCCACGTAGCACGATCTTAAGCCACCTGCATCCATCGACTTCCCGCACATTTGCATAGGTCATCATTCCATCTAGTGGTGGGTTGTCCTTCACTACGATGGCCAATACGAGGCTGCCATTCGAAAACCTTTCTTCGCCGACGATTATCGATTTTTCATAATTACTTAAAATTACAAACGGACGCAGAAAAGTAAGAAATGTGAAATTTTATTTTTCTACTATGTATGTAAGCAATCTTCAGTCACGTTCCATTTTCAACCCCTAAAAGGAAGATGTGTTAAAAAGGCGTTTTGTTTTTATTTGACGTAGGAATATAAGGCTCTCATATCCAGAAACTTAAGAATACCTAATTCCTTCGGACCTATCGTTGAATCTACACGCACCGTGTCATTCAGTTTTACTAAATGGATTTAAATGTATTCATCAGACGCATAGCGAAGATCGAAGCGCGAAATTGCACGGTATACATGTCGATATGACATTATAATTCCACCTTGCGTCGGCGTTCTGTCGGCCAAGTAGCATGGTCTACCCCAGCACTCGAGGCGGTACGGACAGAAGAGGATTCCGCCGTCGGTGCTAGTGGAAACGCAGCTCTAGCTTAGCTGGTGGGAAACGCTACGTCAGAGCGGTCTGTCGGACGCCGCTGCCAAGCCACTGCCAGTCGTCGCACTAGCGTTTCATGAGTCACTTGTGTGAGCGTCGTCGCGAGTGCGTAGTGTCGGGTCCACGCGTTCATGGGGAACTTATCGCGGCAACAGTCATGTAATTTTCGGGTATAAATATGGTGTTTGTCGTCCACCCGTGTGCAGTGTGACATGGATGTGTATGACTGGACAGTTTTTAGACATTAAGATCTAATTAATAGCCGTGCGGAGATGGCGCGTTTATACAGATGCGGCATTTGGATTTTACTGGTGAGTTCGACGCTCGTGTCGTAAACTTTTCGCGATAAGCTTGCTTGCGTCTTCGCTTTTCTTTTCTTTGTTTTTCGGCTACTTTAATCTCGGTACGGACGTATTGGACTTGCGAAGTCGTGTCCGATCGGTATTTAAAAAGTAAAAGTACACTTTCAACCGTGCGTATTCGTTTGTTATGTGCAAATCGAAACGCACCTTAACAGCACGTCTATTTAGCCACCTTGACCCGATGGCAAAACAAACATGAATACGTTATATCGAGGAGTAAACCATTTTTTATCCAAGGCCTTTCGTCCACCAATCGCCCGTGTCATTGCGATAAAAAGTCTGATTTTCGTTATTAATTACGATCGCAGTGCCAGTATACAGTTCATATTTTTACGCAATTAAATCTTATCAGCTTTTAATTTTTGAATTTATAACAAGTATTTCACAGTAGAAGTATCAATCCACATCCTTTTGATTTATTAAAAAACCGCGTAAAAGTTACGCCTGACGGAATTACGTGAGAGAACTATCCAAAACTTGAATACATGATAAGTATAATATTTCGTTATGTCAATTTATAGGAACATGGAATGGAATTTTCATTCGTATCTCACCTCGAGTAAAGGCAAAGACCTTCTTAATACCAGTTTCTGAACCATAACGCCAGATTATTGATCGTTTGATATTAAATCGAGAAAGAACAACACAAACAACGCTTTTAGAAAAATGTCATGTGTTTTTAATTGCATTATGCAAATCGATTCACACTTATGAATCGATTTAACTTTAATTAACTCAATTTCACTTTTTCATTTAAGAGCCTTGGTTTGGTATACATGTATTAAGAAATGTAATATTTTTTATTCGTTTACTAGTACTATAAATTAAGAGTTTAATAATAACCATAATATTTTATGGCCCCAACATTAAATGCGAAGTAATTACTCTAGTTGTTTTGTCAATGCTGCAAATATTGTATATTCCCAATGCATAATGCATACAACAAACAGTTCTCAAGCCATCACCTAAATGAAAAATGTTTTAATTAATTTATTTATTTATTTAATCTTTATTGCACAGAAAATTGTACAAAGGCGAGCTTGATTATATTTATTGCATTCTATACATCTATTTAATGATATTATCGTGGTAGACACCACTACAATTTAAGAAAATAATGAAATTGAACTACTTTTATTTTTTATTTTTAATCAACTTAAGCTACACACGTACAATTTATATTTATTGAGCACTTCATTTATCATACTTATTAAGTCTGACATCCGGGATCAAATAATAAACAATATTTTTAAACAAATTATCACACAATTACAATCTGCTCTGCAATATATATATATCTTTAAAAAATATGTTAATCATTGGATTATGACAAATTTATTCAAAATTAGATCCAAAGTCATGTCTACTTTATCATGATATTCTATAAGTTTTATAACAGTAACAGCCTATACATGTCCCACTGCTGGGCAAAGGCCTCCTCTATATAGAGGGTATCAGGACATAGTCCACCACGCGGCCCCACTGCGGATTGGCGGACTTCACATATCTTCGAAATATATATATATTATTTTGTTATTATTTCGAAAATATGCAGGTTTCCTCACGATGTTTTCCTTCACCGCCTAGCACGTGATAAGACAGCACTTAAAGTTAAAAACTTCATTGGTGCCGGCACCGGGGATCGAACTCAGGTTGCTCGAGTATATTGAATTAAAGGCGAGCGCCCGGACACTGAGCTATCACGGCTCTTTTTATATTTATAAGTTTTATAATAAAACTAATAATTATGGTCTTCTCAAATATAAGATATTATAGAAACATATAGACAATATTAGGTAGATATTGAAGGTCTAGCCTTGCTAGCTTCCGATAGCCCGAGTTACTAATGACACCAAGATGTCAAACACCGTGTTACCATGACTTCTGTTAAACTTTAAACCGTTTTTAGTTAAAATCTAACGGTAGTTATTTTTATTACAGTTCGAATTAACTAAATGTTAACAAACTAATGTGACGTAGACTAAACTTTCTCCTCACAAATATTGTGAGTGGAATGAAGAAATAATTCTTTGAGCTCCGACTAGTAGAAACTACTTATTGGTTAGCTATAGGTACATATTTTTGAAATATTTGTGCGGCCGGCACGATTCCATCGATTTTTTGTATCATTGCGAGTTTTGAGATTAATGAAGAAAGTTTTCATTTTCGTCGTAAGAATTGATACAAAAACTTTTTCTTGTTCAATGGGCATTGAAGTTTTGTCCATATTGAATTTGTGAGTCCATTGTATTCTGACTGGCTCACTCGCCTTCGCTCAGATATAAATAACACGGATGTGAATTTAAATAATCGCTGCTATTATTGCGCCAATATAAAAATGCTTCTTTTTAAGTACTTGATTTACGTGTTTAGGATCGGCTAGCTCGTCTTGCATCCATTTGTACTCTGTTATTTACATTGTTACATTTACTCTCTCGTTCATCTATTTTATCCATCGAAAAAGAACTTGCATGTGAAAACGTGATAATCTTTTTACTAGATTCTAGAATTTTACTAACATCTTTACTAATTACTAATCCTTACTATCCTTACTAATATTATAAACGTGAATGGATGGATGTTTGTTACTCATTCACGCAAATACTACTGAATGGATTTGAATGAAACTTCACAATAATATAGCTTATACATAAGAATAAGACATTGGCTATAATTTATATACATATTTTATGTATATCTGTCTTTCTGTCTGAATGTTACGCCTTCAGCCTATTCTACGCAGACGTTGTCGCGGGCAGCAGCTATTTTATAAATTTATTACTTCGCTAATAACGGAAACATTCTTCTGTGTTTCGTCTAGTGAGTTAGGTAGCCGGCCCACTTTATTAAAGGTTGGCAAAGCATATGCAAACTTACGGGTGTTGCAAATGTCCGTGGGCGGCGGTTATCACTTAACATGAGGTGAACCGCCAGCTCGCTTGCTCGCTCGCACATAATAAAAAGTGTTGATAACCAGTAGAGAGGTCATAATCTCTCGTGTGATGATAAAGTTGAGACGCGATTCCAGTTCACACCTGTTCTATATTATCTCTCTGTCCTCACATTTCATTTTGTACGCTAGATTAGTTGAAGGGGATGTTGTGAATCACAAATGTTCAATTGACAGCACCTCCTTCAACTTATCTAACTAGAAATGAATCACTTCATTCATTGACATTCTCACTAAATATAATGTTCATTGACGATGTTAAAATATTAATACTTCAAACAGTTTTGTTTAATTTTTCAAGAATACGTCTCGTCTACACATTATGTACTATCTCATACTAAAAAGCACATCGTGGATGAATTAACACAGATTTGTCTTGTATAGATTATATGCAATTCAATTAAAATTATATGATTTTCCAAACGATTAAAGATCATAAACATTGTAGATAGAAAATATTTTAAAGGAACTTGAATTGTGTTTAACAACGGGGGCTTCGGCTGTTGCACGAATGGGCAGAAGTACCAAGGCCTCACCGAATACGCGTGATGTCGAAGTATGTATACTATCGCGTTTCTACCGGGGCCAACTTTTTTAATGATTGGCAACGCATAACGCTGTCACCCATTTAGTGTTGTAGATATCCGTACGCGGCGGCATTCATATAACTTTTTTTCGCTTGACAATTTTTTCTGTGAAAAAAGATAAATGTTAGGATTTAAATCTATCACTCAATGTGATTAGTTTCGATTCATATTATTGAAGCTTGAATTAAAACATCAATATATAATTGAAGACGTTATTTGAATTGATTAAATTATGTCTATTTAATAATCTTTCATTCCAGATCCTATTATTATCGAATAACTGTGAAGCAATTAGAACGAGACACCACACGTTTAGGAGAACGAGATCTGCCCAGAGAAGTGACTCAAGATCAAAAGGTGGGCTATATTTCACGTGATATGTACATGCACGTGATATGTACATGCACATGTACTGTGTATGCACAGCCTCACGAAATAGTAGATATATTCAAGCTAATGATGCAATTAACTGACACACACAAAACGAAAATTCAGCATTTTGGATGGAACACCTATTCAAGTTCTGCGGGATATAAGTGTGCCTAAAAACAGTTTGGGAAAGTTGCAGATTAACTAGTTAACCCATATTTGCACTAAATTGACAATGTTTATGTTGTAAACTGATGAATGTTGAAAGCAAGATCGTTCAATTAAAACTAATTTGAAGCTAAACAGTTCCTATAGAAAGTCCTTCCAAGTTTCTAAAAACGGATTGCCCTGATCAATTTTTATAGCCGTTCAATATAATTTCTTAAACACTTCGATGTTATTCATGCACACACGAATATAAGACTTTTTTTTAATTATTGTAATAAATTAAATAAATACAATAAAAGCGAACAGGTGAATAAAGAACAAATATTTCAACTTTCCGCGACCTTTTCACTTACTATATTAATTCGCTTCAGCAGTATTATGTTAATCTAGTAATCTTGTTTCATTGTCCGTTATGATGCTTACAGACAGCGTCGTATTCCCGGGTATGTCGTTCAAGCCAAAGATCCCGAAAGAGTGCGAGAAGATCGGCATTTGCGACCAACTGCCGGAATACCCAGAGAGCCACGTGGAGCAATTGGTGAATGAGGTCAGGGCGTGTGATTATATATGTTATCACGACACGTAAACATTTAAATGTGATGTACAAAAAACGGCCAAGTGCGAGTCGGACTCGCGCACGAAAGCTTTACATTATATTACATGTATAAGTGAATATGACAGATGATATAGAAAGTATGATAGGGAAAGAGATAGCAGTCTATAGAATTGCAATATAATTACATCAATTGGTGTAATTTGACTGCCTCAGTTTAGGTGTGCTAGTGTCATATCTATCTGGTATTTGTATAAAATAATAAATATCATTGATAATGTTACGATCAAGGGGTTGACGTCTTAAATGTCAACGAACTATCTGACAGTTTGGTATGACGTATATCATTTTATTTTTAATATTATTTTCGTTACCTTCATCAGCCTCAGTTATATCATTAAAATTGCGATATAGACATGAAATTTAGATTAAATTAGTTAATCCCCTGGATATCATTAATACCTATAATGTTTAAACTAAATCAAATTTCTTTATTTTAATTTTCGACGTTTCGAACATTGTTCAACGTCCTACTTGACCATGAACTAATCTCATTTCGGGAATTCATTTAAAAATAAAACGATTAGCGTGGAGTATTCGCATAAATATAACCAATTGACGTATGTTATTGTTGTTACCATTTACAGTCATAATTATTAAGAATTTAGATTTATTAACTACTAGTGGTTACACCTTATCACTGCTTAGTTTCGCTCGGCAGAAATATCTAATGTCATGGTCACTGTAAATACTCCTAAGAGCTATAGTTATGTTCTTAGCAGAATCATTTTCATTGATTTTGTAATGCAGTTAGTCAGACCGGTTCTTTATTTATAACGAAAATTCCTTTCGTAAAAAAAATTTGCAGTTTTCCTACAAATACGATGGCGAGGAAACCACTTTAGCAATGCTAAACAATTTAATTTCATGGTTACTATTATAAAAGTTTGATAAATTATCATAATTTTCAAAGTTATGAGATTTTAGTACGAAGTTTGTGTTTCTATTTGATCGTTAATATTATTGGGGTTTGGTGTTATGCATTTCTGAGCATCCATCATCACTACCTATAATAAAAGAATATCGTCCCGCTGTCTGTCTGTCCCTATGTATGCTTAGATCTTTAAAATTACGCAACGGATCTTGATGCGTTTTTTTTTTTACTAGATAGAGTGATTCAAGAGGAAGGTTTATATGTATAATACGTTGCACCCATGCGAAGCCGGGGCGGGTCGCTGGTTTATAATAAAGAGACAACAGAATTGTCACTATAATGTTCAGTAAACAGTATCAGTTACCAGTATCATTTTCACTAAGAGGAAAAGAGCCCACATGTTTAGTACAAGGAAATTTTTTTTAAAAGTTATATTTTACTACATATTTTAACAAGGAAATTAAATAATTACTTATTGATACAATTAAATAAATTCATTAGTACTTTACTGATAAAATGATCCTTAATTAAGTATTAAGAGAAGTTGGTTTCCTCACGCCGTATTCCTTTACCGTTGAATGAATTTACACAGAGTTTTAATCAACAATTTCATTGCTGCTGACAACGGAAATTAAGCGAATAAAAGCCACCATTACGTTCTTCGTGATAAATTATACAATTGTTATAGGTAAATTGATCGAACTAAACACGACTAATAAGATTTTGCACATTTTATAACGAATGGACAATAGTTCCGTCCGTTTATGGTATTCAATTTTTGAATAAGATAAGATTTTTTTTATGCGAGTTATCAAACGAGCAGACGGTTCACCTGATGTTAAGTGAACACCGCCGCCCATGGACATCTGCCACACCCGAGGGTTACAGATGCGTTGACAACCTTTTGAAAATTAGGTTCCGGCCACCTCACTCACCAGACGAAACGCGAAAGTATTTGTCATACTTCCACTTTACGCTGGTCTTCTGTGAGGTCGTGGTACTTACCCGGACGGGCCTGACCATTCGTGCCACAGCCGAGGCTGCTGCGTGGCCCTGCCACCGTAAAGATTTTGATGCCCGTTGTTGTGAAAGCTCTGATATAGTCGATTTTACGATCAAACTGTTACGCAGAGTGTCGTCTGACATGAGTGCTTATTGAACTTGGTTTATTACAGTTGTTAAGGACAAACTCCACGAAATTCAACGTGGACGAGCTAGAGTTGCAAATTGCGCAAAGGTTTGGGGAGGACGAGAAGAACTTGGAGCTGTGCCGGTCAAATGAAACGGTGGGCTGCTTGTATAATATCAATATTGTTAACTAGCCGTTAACCGAGACTTCGCCCGCGTCAAAGGGAATTAACAATGAGCGTTTTGTTATACATCAGAATATCTCGCAGATGGCTGAATTTTTTCCTACTTAGCTGACACTTATCATTACCTATATTTTGGACAATTCACACAATCTCTTTATTAATTATAGCCTATGTGTTATTCTGATGTATGAGCTATATTATTGTAAAGTTTCATTAAAATCTATTCTGTACTGTTTGCGTGAAAGAATAACAAACATCCATACATACATACAAACTTTAGCGTTTATAATATTAGTAAGGATATTATTGTAAAGTTTCATTAAAATCTATTCAGTATTTTTTGCTTGAAACAGTAACAAACATCCATCCATAATATTAGTAAGGAAGTAAGGATGTTTACCAAGCAATACTTACATACATATACCACTGGCTTTCCTTACACTATCCACTGACTTTGTAGGCTTGTACACCTCTTAGAAATTAGTACCACGTTCATGATCATTGCTTATCACTGTTAAACCTTCAATAAATAAATAAATAAATAAATATTTTAGGACACATTTTTTACACAACATTTTCCAGTCCCAAACTAAGCAAAGCTTGTACTATGGGTACTAGAAAACTGATAAATATACTTAAACATACTTTTCTTTTGTAAATAAATACATATTATACATATATATAAATAAATACATATTATACATATTCAATATATTTATATGTTTTTTGTGTAGCTGAATTATTCCTGTGTTATTCATCATGTCTATGGAGGGTAATCAAGCTTGCAGGGTAGCGTCAGTTACCTACGTCACTGATGAAATGTAGTAGTATAAATACATATATTTTACACCGATATTACTTAGTCTAAATACATCTATTGTACATCGATATTCCTTAAATCAATGGAACTTCTCTCGCCGAGCCTGCTTAATCAACAAATAAAGTGCTTTGTGGTCCAATTTTTGCAAAATTTTCAATATTTTTTTTTTGTTTCAGCTATTAAACCCAAAGGCAGCTAAGGACGCAAATAATAAATGGCATTACGTTATTAACAAAGTACTGGGCGTTGTCCAGTCGTTTCGGGTCGATATTTGTGAGTAAGTAAATACGTTTTTGCTCTATACTCTATTAAAATAAGTATTTATTTCCGATACGTGTTAGGATTTTGTTTTTGACACTGATTTGAGCTAGTGCATTAGTGTCAATTTATAGTTTGCAGTAAGTATCACAAAATTTCCTCTGCATTGTATTGCAATAATTTCGTAAAATATGTGCTTTTAAAAATTAAAACACCATTCTTTCTCTTTCGCTTGGAACCCCATTACCAAAGTTCGCAATTTCATCGTCTACCACTGACCCCAAAAATAATTTTATTCAATAACTTGCTACACTTTATTTAGTGCTTATTAGAAACGTAATTTGCTTAAAATTTCTATATACGTTATATATAAGCTATAAATATAAATAAGTCGGAATACATTGAATAAAGTTCAAACTTCCCTGATACTGACAATGTATAAGTTTGTCTTTGTATATATATGTATGACTAGCTTTGCCCGCGACTTCGCTCGCCTGGAATTAAAAAAAAATTCTTAAATAAAATTAGCCTAAGTTATTACTTATTACATCAGCTATCTGCCGGTGAAAGTGCCATCAAAATCGGTCAAGTCGTTTAAAAGATTAGCCGGAGCAAACAGACAGGCAAAAATTGTAAAAAATGTTATTTGGTATATGTACCGTGTACACATCCCATTTAGTAAAAAGCAGTTATTAACCGACTTCAAAAATGAGGAGGTTTATCAATTCGACCGTATATTTTTTTTAATATTACAAACAGACGCTGCAATTTTACTTATCTGTATGTACAGGTAAATTTTTGACATATATCATCAATGTGGTAGGGTCACGCAGCAGTGTCTACTGTTGCATAAATGGACAGGCTCATCCGGGGAAGTACCACGGCCTCACGGAAGGCCGTCGAAGTGGAAGTATTATCTGTTGTGTGAAGTAACTGTAGGTCCCAGTTACTACACACCTTTTGAAAGGTTATCAACGTATCTAATGTCCATGGGTAACGGTCATCACTCAAAATAAGACGAACCAACTGTTTGCTAGGCATCTTTTCACATGAAAGAAAATCAATGCGTTGCATCAATTTATTCACATACTATCCGTTTTCAGTCAGAGTAGCACAGAGTGCAATACGGTCGCACATTTCGCGCGGGGTAACAAAGCCAGATGCAAACAGAAATTCATACTCCGCAATATGGTGGCCATTGACTACAACGGTAAACTCATCGAGAAGAATTTCCTGATCCCCAGCTGCTGTTCCTGTGTATACGAAGTAACCACGCTGTAATATACGTTTATTTATAAGGAACCACTCAGCATTTTAATTGATACGATCCCTTTGTTCCCGGCATTGTCTAAAAGAATAATATTTCATATGTAGTTCAAATCAGAGCATCTGACAAGGATCTATCAACCTACATAAACCGTGTAAAGAAGCCGTTAACGGTTAAAACATCGTTGAAGATTCGGATATTAAAATTCGAAACAAGTCGTAAGGTTTTCACTGGTGTGTACTAAGCGTTAGAATGAATCATTTTTTTTTTGTGCTAGTTGTAAAGAAAACTTTATAATTTAGGTACTTTAATTCAGTTTACTAAGTTTACTTTAGTTCAGCAAGAAATCACGTCATAAAGGCTGCCGATGATTGGTTGTGCATAGCGTGATATAATAAACGTGATGATAACGATAGGTGCAGGGCTCCATCCCTACTGCGGACAGCGCTACAGGAGCCCTGAAATCATTAAAGCGCTGTGTTCAGTGGACTTTTAGTTATTTGGATGGTGAAGTAGTAAACGGAGGAAGGGTAGATAAAAAAGAGCAACCTAAGTTCAAATCCCGGTGATGAAATTGTTAATTTTAAGTGCTGACTTATCACTCGTTCAGCGGTGAGGCAAGGAAACGGCAAGGCATAAGGAAACCTTTTCAAAATAATAACAAAAAGAAAAATTTCGAAGATATGTGAAGTCCACTAATTGGCAGGAGGGCCACGTGATGAACTATTATATACCCTAATACCTTTGCCGGAGGCCTTTGCCCAGCAATGGGACATATATTGGTTGATACTTATTTTTCAATGATTTTGCTTACAACAAAAACAATTAAGAATCGACAATGATTTATTTTGATTTAAAATAATGTCTTAACTAAAATAGTAAAAATTTCTTAATTAATAAGTAAAATTAAATTTAAGAAAACTATATCGATAATTTTGTTTCCAACTGGCAATCCATAAAATCTTAGTTATAACCAGAAATATTATATAAGTGTAATTAAATTATAAGTAATTATAAGAGCCCAACGACAAGCAATTTACTTGTATGTATTTGCAAAGACAGACTTGGCATTGCATTCCTTGCGATTCTAAACTGCGGCATTTGTGGCTTGACATATTTCTATCGTATAGTTAATACTATAGATATTTTAGCGTCAAGGTCAAAGCTGTTTTGTTTTTTGTACGTCCTATTATGCCGATAGAATTTGTTATTTAGCCAGCGGAAAAATTGTAACAAAATTGCCCATTCGAATTTGTGTGTTCTTTTGTTAAGAACTGTGTGACATCTTAAGCTAAAGGACACACTTCTCCACTGGCTATTCTGGACAAGTGGGGCCTGGGCCCCGACATTAATGGTCCACCTGGTTTGACAACCAGTATCACAGACGGATAGTCAATTTTCCGAAAATAAAGCAATTTTAAAAAAGAGTTTTTTTTATTCAAATAAAAAACATGATATCCACATTCAACGAACTTATTACATCCAAAACCGTGACGGATGTTGATCTTGTGACTGTCCACTAAAGCCTGAATTAAGTGAGTTTAAACCTAGCGACTGCTGAGGAGGTCGTCTTGGCTAAGTCGGACTCAAAAAATTTTGTAAGCCTTTCTTTGATCGCCTGTTACCCATAATGGATTTGCCGAAGTAAGTAGCGTTCTGAGCAAGTCTACAATAAAAAAACGCGATATTTCACATGAATAGAATCTAAAGCCTCTCAGACAGACCTAAAACAGTCTTGAGTGACAATCTGAATTTTGACACAAGGCAAAAGCGTGATCACAGCTTCCATCGTATAGTCTGTTTATGCTACAGCAAAGTATGGGTAGTATATCTCTTGAATGGGGAAGGAATAATATACAAACTGTGAGCACGGCCTTGGCTTCGTTGTCCGGAATGATTTCCTCTCATGTATGACCAAAAGGCATGTTAAAGCGCATTATGACCTTGCCACTCTCCGGTAATTGCGGCTGCGGCACCCTTTTTGTGTTGGTGTGGGGTAAAAGTTTGTGCACACCGGCCTATGTGGGGGAAAGCGCTGGCTATGTCACCTCCATAAAATCCCCTCGATGTTCCAATCAGGGCATTGACACGGGAACGTTTTCGCATACTTCCGCAACCCCTCGAGCGCTGGCCGCCTCAGCAGCCACTTGGAGAGTAATATCTTCTCGTTTATGTTCCTGCACGCCTTACTTGGAGGAGCGCAGATGCTCCCTGGTAAGTTCACGTACACAAGTACAACACTTCCCTCTTGTGTTCAAACGTAATAGAAAGGACCTTTACGCTAACACTTGCTTTCTTCTGTACGCTGATGACACCGCAAAGTGGGCTTCAATCCATGATAGATAAATTCTACGATGCATGCGATCTATTCCATAAATACTGTCATACTTGCCTAAGAATGCACGGAAAAAACGGTAATATAACTGCATGGCAACCCGTGGGATGTACTTAACAAATTCTGTTACTTTTTTTCCAGAGAAACAGTTTAAAGAGCAATTTGTCGCTCAACACGAAGATCGACATTCGCTTAACAAGGCAGCGACGACGTTCGGGAGGCTCCGTACAAGAGTACGGTATAATAACCACCTAACTATACGCACCAAAATCCTGATATACTAAGTAGGTATCCTTAGAACACTTCGAACACAAGGAGACGAAACCTGAACTTCGTACGCTGAGCAGGTGCGCCGACTCAACGCTACCGTTTGCGTCGCGTTCGCATTATCTTGGCTGTTACATACCGGAAGGACAGTATTACAAACAAGGAGGTCCTTGCGAGTGTGCAGCTGTCCAGCTTCACCGCCTTTCTTAAACGGCGACATCTGTTGTGGCTTAGGCATATGCATAACATGGAACCCTCTTAGACTTCCCAACAACAGAGTTTGACGCTGTAGTGGATCCCAGTGGAAAGTGTCCCCAATAGCGCACTGCGTAATTCATAAGGATAAGAGTGCTGGTAAATGTAGTTACTAAGAGTAATTCATCTATCACAATGTAAAGTCATAAGGATAAGAGTGCTGGTAAATGTAGTTAGTTACTAAGAGGTAAATTTGAATCTAAATGCGAGTGCACCACAGAAAGTCTACGTTCTTGCTTCGTAAACGTTCCGAACAGTTAATTACGTGCCCATGTTAAAGTAAACTGATACCTTAAAAATACTAAACTAATCATTAGATAAGATACCTAATTGATGACATTCATATTTCTGATCGAACTACTTAAAGAGCGGAAAATCAAAATAAACTTACATAAGTCATACTGAAAATATAGTTTTTGATAAATAAGACCAAATATTTACGAAACATAAAATGTTTTTCGACTTATATGTCCTCAGAATTTAGGCATTTTTGCATTCGTTAGAGCCATTGCGTGAAAGTTATCAATTATTTTAAGCCTTCAAATACCTAATGTATGGAATTTTCGGGCGGTTATCGTGGTAAAGAACGATATCGCTACACAAACCCTTTTCTCATACTTTTTGTAACACTCTAGGCAAGCAATTATTTATGTTCCACTCAGCAATCACCGTCCTTTTTCAAGTGATAATCACCTTTTTCAAGTGGTGTAATGTGAAAGAAAGAAGAAATCATTCTCCAGTCAAAGCTCCCACTTTGAGCCTGGCAGGAAAATAGCTTCTGAACCCTCAGATGTTCCTATATGGAAAATATTTTGTTATCGGCTTATTCGGATACCTGATATAGTATGAATTAGTTTTTGCTACAATAGTTTTTCAGTGGTCTTACGGTATAGGCGATCTTCGCTTATCCCGCCATGGCGATGACCACCTCCGAGCCTAATGCTTCGAACCACAAATGAACAGAGTGGTGACATGGTGCTGTTTTCACGAGTAATATTAATTGTTAAAGCGACAAACAATTTCCTAAGGACATCATAATGAAAAAAGTAATGACAGAGACTGTCAATTAATAAGTAACATGGTCGTAGAGAGTTCTATTTTCGAAACTCCTAATTGCTTTTTCTATTTATTTTTTTATTGTGCGTAGCCAGTTCCGGAAGCTTTTAGTATGACCCAGGCAAAAATTTAGTAGTTACTTCTGGTATTAGAATACCAGAAGTAAGTGGCGAAAATGATCACTAATCATCAGGTTGATCATTTGCCTCCTTTTCCATAACAAATTCCTGATTTAGGGTTTTCTGAGAGCAAAATCAAGGACTCATTCCCATTATAAATGTTAGCCTTGGCTTTTGAATTACCATTTTAACACATCTTTAGGGACGATGAAAAAAAATACTTAAAAATATAGTACGCTTACGTTCATAACAATATTATTATTTAGGAGGGAATTTCTAAACCAGTACAATACAAAAATATACTGCTGAGTTTGCATAAATTGAAGTGTTATACAAATGCAATCAGGATCAATTACAAGAACGAAAGCCTCTTACACATAACACCACGGTGCTGCGGTTTTGGCTTGTTGTCAGCAGTATCAATTTGACCGTATCGAACAACACATGTGGTCGCTCGTTGCTCGTTCGTTAGCATGAGTGTGTAGTCATTGCAATTAATTTAAAATATGCGAACTTATCGCTACAGCGGCGGTTGTTACCTATAAAATGGTAGTCGTTCCTGATGTTTAATGAATGTAAAAAACTATCTGTAAATTTATTCATAATGCGCGCTGAGAAATGATTGGGCTACGTCGTTTCGTTGTTTGGATATCAGTCGTGAGTACACTTTTTTTTAAGTTGTTTAACGATTAGCTTTTTTAAATATGTATTCGTACTTCCCGCTAATTTTAACAGCATATGGGACACACTATTGCCGCCTAAATTTAACTTTTATTTAAAGTTTAGTATCAAATAATGTTCGAGCAATCTAGTAAAGAAAAAGCAATCACTTACTTTAATATAAAAGCGGCTTTATAAATATTGTACATATAAATAAAAAATAGTATTTTATCATTAATTGTGTAACTTTATCGGTTAACTTACCGTTTAATTGACATACTGATCGAATATTTGATATAACATTTAGTGGAATTTGTCGCGCGACAATAATTACTTTGTGGAACTATCTGGAGTTTTGCCGTTTTTATATCGGTTCAAATCAACGGTGCCGGCAGATGGAAAGTAAAAGTAGCGTGGTCAACTTTCTTCTTCAAACCCGCACGCGAATAAATGTGCGCCGCTTAATTGTTTCGTCCATGATACAAGACACTTCGTTAGCAGTATGAGCTAATTCAAAGATATTTGTTTATCGAACGATTTTAAAGACATAGTTATTCTAGACAAGTGGAAGTGATTCGTGATTGTTTTACAAGAGTGTGAAAAAAACAAAAGTTGAATAATTCAAATATCTTTATTTAATACAGAAGCATTACTCTTACTTATTGATTGTCAAAACGGTACCAACGTTTCGAAATAGAAAAGCCACTGACCTGAGAAGAACCGGTGAAAGAAATTCAGCGGAACATTTTTTTAACATTAACCAAGAAACATGTTTACAATGTATTAAAGTCCACTTAAAAGAATCTGGAGAGATCAATTCATTTCAGTGTGTGTTATCATTTAAATATTATTTTGCATTTAGCAATTGATACATTTATATTGCAATACGTGTATATTTTCAGTATACACGTTGTCCCATAAAAGAATTACTTATTCTACGCAGTCTAGTTGTGGGTAGAACTAATTTAATTTTTAAAAGAATTTAAAAAACAATAATAAAGAGGCGTAGCCAGATTTTAATATTGAGGGATCAAGAGTTTTAATTAAACAACAAAATGTACCTTCCAACGAATCATCATCATCCTCATTTGAATCAAGTTGTAAGCGGCTTTGGCTTTGTTTTTACGACCGACCTGACACGTGTGCCTGATGTGAACCCTCCTTGGGAAATAAACGCCCAAATCCGGAACAATTACCATTGGGTGACGCAAATACTTATCCCGTGTAGGAATCGAATCAACAACCCCCGACGCCGAAGCCAATAGCTCAGCAACGGCCAAACTGAGTCATATACCTTACAAAGAAATAAGAAAATTAAAAAAAAACGTTCACGTGTCTGAGAAATTGGCGATATATTTGAAAATTAAGAGGCGGTATTGGGATACCATTTTGACGATTTTAATGTTATTATCATCCAAATCATGTTTTCTATTGAAATGAGGATGTTGCTTTATTTCATCCTTGACCGGAATCGGTGTTTTTCGATAGGATTTAAGGTTTATGTTTTTAGTATAATGGTAGGGGTTACTTAAAATGTGATCCAAACTGCAAACTTCAGTTCTTCGAGTTCAACTATGTGATACGATGTTAGATATTAGCGTTAAACGAGTCGTGATGAGGCTGGTTTATATCTAAATCTACTCACTAGTGTCTTTAGAGTTTCCAAAACTAATAATAACCTCATTGTCCCACTCATTTGTAAACATTTAAAAATTTCTGACAAAATTGGCGAAGCTATTGAAAGAACAAGACAACAACTAATAAAAAAACCATCATTTTAATGAGAACACATGACAGGGAAGAGAGAGTTTAAAACCCTTACTGTATATTATTTTTTGTAATAAAGACCTGTAGCTTGAAATTGAACTTGACTGCTGGTTAGTTTATGCTGACTCGACCACAGAAATATTGTATTACGATTATATTACGACAAATTAGAATATATAAACCGGTGTTTTTGAAACGGAAAGGGTTCTGGAAATGTTGGTTGAACGTATACGTTAAAAATCTTGATTAAAGAAATTATTTTTTTAATCGACTTATAATTTTGAGTTGCTTTGAGGCTTTTTCATTAAACTGATTCTTTTAAATTTTCAGTTTCATGTATCAACACAAAACAATATCACGAGGCCGAGTTACAACTTGTTTAAAAGGAATGGTTCTGCCAACGGAAATAACTTGTCGATTAATGGTAAATGGTGAAAATAAAAAAGCAAGCTGTGAATCAAAGTGGTTAAATAATATCATTAAACGTAATTAAACGCAATAGTTTCTTAAAGCTTTATTGTGTAGAAAATGTTTTACACATATAAATTTAGATAATTTCTCATTGATTCACTCATTGAACACAATAGCGGCGACAATTAATGTGCCCTGACTTAATACAGCGTTTATGATATGATTATATTTAAAAAACCCGAAGACAGAGAGGAATGTTAAACTCATTCTTACATTTGTCTTTCAGAAATTCAAAGTAGGAGAACAGCTTCAAAGGGCCCGAATACTATTGACTTATTCGTACCAAAAATTACGGAACATTGCGAAATAGTGGGCATATGTGAAGATGTACCAGGCTACCCAGAAGAGCACGTTAAACGTTTACTAGAAGAGGTCATAACATATTTTTGTATTTCCAAGTGAATTTGTTTTCCTCAAGGGCTTCTCCCGCTTGAGACTTTACGACATATACTAGCTAATACACAGGACAAAATTAAATGTTCAAAATTCCTGTTTGGTAATCCAGTGAAAAATTCCATTGAAAATTATATACAATCAAAATCAAAATCAAAATCAAAATATATTTATTCAAATAGACGCTTGCGCGCTCTTATGAATCGTCAAATTTTACATCAAAGATTATGTGTATAGGTTCGTAAGGTACCACCGGTTCGGAAAGCGGTTTCTGTTGAGAAGAGACCGGCCGTTGTTGAATCCAACCGTTGTTGAATGAAGAGTTTCATTCAACAACGGTTGAATGAGAAAAGTTGCCAAGCGAGAAGCTAGTTCAACTTTCAAGTGATTACCGCCTCATATGGTTATTTACAACACCTGAGGGTTTGCAGATGCGTGGACATCCTTAAAAACATATATTGACATTGACAACCTTACACCCGGTTTCTGAAACACTGATCATCGTAGATGTCAACTAATCAGCTGTCAAATGGCTTTTCAAATGTTATTTGAATTGCCAAAGGGATGGTTAAGCCCTTTGAATTGATCATTAAGAAGATCATTCCGATCAATTCAGAGAGTTTAACTATCCTTCCATCCAAAATGAATTTGAAAAACCATTTGACAGCTAATTAGTTGACATCTAGGATGATCAGTGTTTCAGAAATCGGGCATTAGAGCGGTAAATTGTTGCAGTCCGGCTCGAAGGACCAAAAGCAATATTTATGCGATAGATGTTTTTTTATTTCAATGAGGTAACAACTGAGCAAGCTATTCATCTAATTTTGAGTTTACACCGCTGCTTACCAATATTTACCACCCTAGAGATGGTGCAAATGTTTTCGCAACCACTTGAGTACAGCCCTCTGTTTATTTATTCATAGGATTACCAACATAAGATACAGCATCTACAATCTAAAAATAAAATGCTAAGAATCTACGTAACTGTTCTTACAATTAGAGGTAATCACATCATGCTTTAACATTTACATCACTAAGTATGGGAAAAGCATAGGATAAAAATTACTGATACTCCCCTCGACTTTTACGAGTCCTTGGTACTGCTGTGTAGAAATGGTCTATTCTTGCATTAGGAGTTTTTATGTGGGCTGTGGTCATTCTACCATAGAAAAATATTATAAATTCATTTCTAGCTTTACAGATTTAAACAGGACCTGTGAAAATAATGAGACATTAAATAAAAAATATATTTTAGACGGAAAGGTTGAACCTAACGAGATTTAGCTTGGACGTGATGGAGCCGCAAATAGGACCAAAAATTCAGAACGATGACTATCTGCAATTGTGCGAGTCTGAGCAAAAAGTAAGACTTCACGTGATATTGTTTTTGGGAAAACTTAGCTAAATACTATATACCTATCTACATAAATCACCATATTAAGCTGCCCCTTTCTTCTTTTTTCACGTCTTTCCGAGAACAATGGGCTTTCTTTAGAGTAATATTATACTGTGATTTTTTTTCTATGTGAGAAGGTGGCAAACGAGCTGGGAGTTTACCTGATCTTAAGTGATTACCGCCACCCATTGAAATTGGCAACATCCGTAGAGTTGCCAACTTGTAATAAAATGGGGCCTATGTCCCGTTGGGATAAAGCCAATGCGCTATCACAATCAATTTTATGTTACGTTAACTGTTAAACTAATACACTGAACTTGACTGCCCATGGCCTTCTATTTCTTCTTTCTTTTTCAAAGAAAACCCAATCCCGCACTAGGGAATAAAAGAGGAGTCGGTGAGGATTTCGCTTACACGCGCCACCTAATTCGTTACAATAACGTCATGAACAAATTCGAATTACTTAAAGGTATTCGAGTGAATTCACGAGAGTTGCGCAATAGGTTATAGTATAAGTTTTTAAAATGCACTTATAATATAATTACGTTATCTTTGTTTATCGCTTTGGGCATATGTTTGTAATAGTACTTGTTCAGTGAAAAGTTAATAAATAAATAGACATGAAATCACCAACCCATAATACACCTGGAATCGGAAGAAGTGTCTTTGGGTCACATAAATTTTGGGACCGTACGGTGGTCGACATCACAACGCGATACGCTACGCAAAGGCACTTTATGACGTCATGACTTTAACCGCTGCCCCAGCAGTACATATTCATAATTATTCTTCAGTGGCAATTCTAAATAGAGTCAAGATGGTAATTATTTTAGTGAAACGTTGGCCAACGAGCATGCGGTGCACCCGTACATCTGATATTAAAATAATACGGTCGGCTATTGATTTTTACGACACCCAAGATCGGAATGAGTTGGTGACGTTTCAAAACAGTGCGAAGTGCTTACCTCACTAACTAGCATATTATTAACGCTATACTGTTTCCATATTATTAACTTTAAGATACATAAGAAACACTAGTGCATCATGATACATTTTGTGAATGTAAATTACATTGCACTTTTTACACTTACACTACATTTCTTTACGAAATTTTTTGAATAATAAAATAAATAAATAAATATTTTCGGACACATTTTCACACAACGTTCTCTCGTCCCAAACTAGTGCAACTTAGACTAATAACTAAGCAACGCTTGTACTATGGGTACTAGAAAACTGACTTTTTTTTTTAACTTACTTAAACATACTTTTCTTTTGTAAATAAATACATATATTATACATATATAAACACCCAGACACTGAAAAAACACGATGTTCTTCACACCAATCATCGAACTTCTCCATTTTCAGTTAAATGTAGGTATAGATCGATTTGATTGACAATCTCGTACATTTTGGATTTATTGAATTACCGACGTTTTTCGAGATATAATAGGAATAATGACAAATGTGTTTAACACTATGTTATGTTAATAATGCAGATCATCGCTCCCCGTGCAGCAAGAGACGTAAACAATAAATGGCACTTCATAGTGAACAGACAAAAAGAACCACAGCAGAAGTTTCAAGTTGAAATTTGCAAGTGAGTATAAAGCTTTGAAAAACTTACATTAACTATTATCTTCACTACATACTATATAAAACAAAGTCGTCCCGTTTCTTGTCTGTCCCTATGTATGCTTAGATCTTTAAAACTACGCAAAGGATATTGATGCGGTTTTTACACTAGATAAAGTGATTCAAGAGAAACATTTATATGTATAATACATTGCATCCGTGCGAAGCCAGGGCAGGTCGCTAGTGTATTAATAAAACAAAAAATGATTTTTTTTTTAAATTTTAATTAGCGCATAAGTCTGAATCGTATCCAGGAAATGCGAAAGATCGGAATTTTTATAGTACTCTTTTGCTTATTGAAGTGATTGGTGGAAATCATTTAACAAATATGTTCATCTATTTTACCAAAAATTCTTTCTAGTCCCCAGTTTTTGAATAGCAGTGGTTTAAAGACCCGCATGTTCTTTTTGAATGAATTTATGACCTCCGCTTAATAGACGACCTTAATAGACGACGACGAAGACATTTTAAAATGAAACTTCGATTATTGGACGCGAACTGAGGGTGAAATTTGAAGGACGCGTAACGCTTAAGAATGTTTTGTTACATGAGAGACAAGAAAGATAATATAAAGAGTTATACTATACGTTTTAAACACATTTTACCTACACAGTTTAGGCTCAGTGGCACAGTTATTCCAGTTTGTGCGCTCCAAAAGCTAGCTAATACAACCACAGACTATAAGGAACAATACATCATGATTTGCGATAAGTTAGAATCAACTCAATCAGAATGTTAATGCATGATGATATAGTTCTTACGACAATAATAAAAATACCAAATATGTAGGTTTTTTAATGGAAACGGCAAACGAGAGGCGAGCCACCTGGTGGTAAGTGTTCACCGCCGCCCATGGACACTCGCAACAACAAAGGAGTCACAAATGCGGCTTTATAAGAAGGAATAGGCTCTCTTCTTAAAGGTCCCTATGTTGTATTAGTCTGGAAATGCCGCTGGCGACAACCGATTCCACAACTTGGTAGTACGTGGCAGAAAGTTGCGTGAAAAACTCATTGTCGTGGACAGACCATCGAGGTGATAGCGATGGTAATTGGCGGTTTGACGTGTCGTGCGGTGGTGAAATTCAGCAGCAGGTCAATACGAACAACTCCTAAGAGCACTCCTCGTAATAATTTCGATAAAGGTCGCAAATAGATGACACGTCTTGGTCGCCGACGATTCGAGCAGCTCTACTTCGCACAACATTTACCACACCGAAGCATTTATTTTGCCTATAGCAATGATGTAAATCGAGCTATCGATTAAAAAATAAAATAATTAACTAAGACTATATATAGTATATAACAGTGGCATAAAAGTGAAGTACCAGACTTTACATGTCCCAATGCTGGGCAAAGGCTCCCTCTGTACAGAGGGTACCACACTGCCCCATCGCGGATTGTTGGAATTCACATATTTATACGAAATACTTTTTTGTTATTATTTCTAAAAATAAGCAGATTTCCTCACGATGTTTTCCTCCACCGCTGAGCAAGTCATAAGTCAGCACTTAAAATTAATAATTTCATTAGTGCCGACATCGGGGATCGAACTCAGATTGCTCGAGAATATTGAATTAAAGGCGAGCGTCCGGACACTAAGCTATCACGGTGCACGAACAGTGGCACGTATAATACTTAATTATTTTCTTTATCTTTTCAGTAAACCAAGTGCTTCCTGCGCGGCAGTTGTAAGCTTCGCGCGGGGGTATCGGGGAAGGTGCCAACAAAAATCTGTGCTGCGTATTATGACGGCCATAGACAACAAGGGAGAATTAGTTGAGAAAGCCTTTTTGTTACCTAGCTGCTGTTCCTGTGTTTACGAAGTTGTATATTATACAAAGAAATAAAAAAGTTAACTTCTTGCCATCTGCTGGTTTTAATTTCTTAGTTAGCGTTTCAATAATTCCATATATGTTATATTTGAGAGGAAATTTATTAACTTTCATTTTAATAAACTTCGTTTAGCACCTGTCATCTACTTTTCACCATGACAAGGGTTCACTGGTACAGAATGCCATTAGGCATTAAGTCCGCCCGTTGAACCTCTTAGCTTAAGAGGTAGCAATGAAACTTAAGTTAATTAATTTCAAATATATTTATTTGTATACATTTTACCTTTATTGAAAGAGGTTTGCTCCATCTAGAGATGACATCGGAAAACTTAAATCAAGCTGAACTAACTAGTATAAACATACAGATGCTACAACCCAAAATAAAATTGTTGTTGATCTTTGATTAGATATAAGTCCAGATTCCAGCACATCGAGGCCAAATGCTCTGTGAGTGGTCGTCCATTAATCACGTGATGTTTTTTTTAGCTTGTTTCAACCCCTCCCCACCCAAAACAACATGTATTTTAGTACCTAAAAAGAATCTTAAAATTTTTAGAATATACTTTTCTTCGGAAATTAAGGACCATGATAAAAATGTAACGGCGACTTAAGGTCACACTACGTATCCTTCCTCACTCCCCCCTTTCGAGATTTTTGCAAAACCCCCTCTCCCTTTAGAGCCTCACGTGATTGATGAATAGCCCCTGCGTGTGTGAGATAAAAATGTTTTTAATTGTATCGAGATGTAGTTCAGCACTTACCTATATGAACGTTTAGTTTTATGTATCACTGTAATTCGTTGCAAAAGTATAAAGTGTATTAACAAAAAAATAAATACATTTAAAACATGTACAAAAAGTACGAAAAGATTATCGCCGCTGTGGGAATCGAACCCACGTCTTCGGCATTCGCGGCCTGACGCTCTAGCCACTGAGCTAAACGGCTGATAGCCAAAGCGACGAAAATCTTAACTCCTTCTTTCTATATTGTTATTTAGCATTTGAAGCAATGCTTGGCGCATCTATTGTTATATCCTTTCCAGCATACAAACAATTTCGAATATCGTTTTACAACGATAATTCGAACGAGAGATATCGCCATTGCTTTTTATAAATTTTAAACTTTTTTATAGTGCTAATCTCTGCACTTAAGATTGAACATCAAAACATGTAGAAAAAGTACGAAAAGATTGTCGCCGTTGTGGGAATCGAACCCACGTCTTCGGGATTCGCGGCCTGACGCTCTATCCGTTTTACATATTGTTTAGCACTAAAGAAAAATGTCAGAAATATAAGTAGGGTTCACCCAGTCGAGTCCTGTAAACCATTATTCAAGAACCTTTATGAAACATTTATGTAACTTTTATAAAAAAAAAGAAATAATTGTTTAAAAAGATGTTAATAACAGGGCAAAAAAGGAACCCACACAGACTTGTGCTACAAGACACGTTTAGAGCAGCAAAAATAATAAGTAGTTGTTTGATTGACTAAATAATTTTGAATGACAATTTAAAAAAGTTACTTATGAAATCAAAGTTTTTAATAAGAAGATATGATATTATAATTATAATTGTATTTTTTTTCAATTAAATTTTGTTTATTTCTATATTAATGTTAAAATAGAGTAACTTTAGTTGATACCATTAATATTTCACATGTTATTTATAAATTAGCTTAACGTATAGTTAAATATTCATGATTTTTAACATCTCTATACCATGTGGTAACTTGGATAAATTCAACTGCTGTGCAAAGGCCTTCTCTGTATAGAGGGCGTATATCACATTGCGAATTGGCGGACTTCACATATCGCTTCCTCAAGGTGTTTGTTTTCACCTCTGAGCACGTGATAATTCAACATTTAAAATTAAAAATGTTTATTGGTACCGGCACCGGGGATCGAACTCAGGTTGAATTATAGTTGAGCGCCCGGACACAGAGCTATCACGCCTTTATGCTATCACGGCTCAATCATCACCAAGATATGGATGCTATTTTATAGTACGACGAATGAGATTGTAGTATAAATACCACAATATAATTGTACAAAATCCACCATGCATCCGACTTTAAATTCTGTTAACGTTCAGCTGAATTAAATTTGAACAAAAATATCGACATTGAATATTTTATATCGATATATTGATATATTGGATCGAAATATAATATAGAGAAAAAATATCAATATATTAAATCAAATATATCGATATTTTTTCGACAACTCTAAATCTCTAATACTAACCGTCATAGTTTTTCAAACTACTTCACAATTCACAATCACAATCACTTATCACATGTCACTGTCAGTTCCACTCCTTAGGAGTATATGTGTTCTGTGGTCAGTTCACTTCACAGTTGTCTCCGGTTGTCACGTACCTAAACGTAAACTAAACAATAATATAAACATTTCGAGGATTAACAGTGTTCATTGGCGTATTCATTGAAAACCGCCAAAAAAGAAAAGAAGAAGATATAAACATTTCACGTTTGCGGTGCTTGTATTTGGTCTTTTAATATTACTTTTTATTTCTATTGACTTGTCGTATTTTCTGGACCCTGATAGTGCTATTTTATTGTAAATTGGCTATTTCTTACGGATATTGATTTAAACTCCTCGCACGATAAATCCCGGCTTCGTTTAGTGAGCTAGTCACTAGACACGTACATTTTATTTGAAGGCTACGTTTTATACTGCATTGATGGCGAAGATACCAAAAAACCCACGCTCTAACTGTTATTTCGGCTGTGGAGAAGGAGGTAAGTAATATTAACAATAGAATGCAATTTAAATTTTTTTATCATTTCCAACTTGGTTACAGGAGGGTTACAAAAACATGGTTACAGAATGATCTTAAGTTTTCAATACACAATGCAGTAATATTATTTTGCTGTAAAGCGCTAAAACACAAATAAATCCCATTGGTACAATACGTTAATTCACATCATATTCAAGAAATACCTATACTCTATAGGTATCTCCTGAAGATGCACTAGGGTCAGTACTAGTGAAAAATTAATACAGTTTAATTTTGAAAATTTTCTGTGGTGAGGCACATCATCTGCTTGTTTGCTCGCTTTTCCTGCATCTAAATTATTAGGAAAGCAGTCTGGTACATCCTGCATAACATTACATATTGTACCATATAGATTTGTCTTTTTTATCACATTAATCTTGTTCATTTAATACCGTGAAATATTTTTATGTATCAAAAACTTCAATACTAGGGTTTCAATTTTGAAATAAAACTGACTTTCCTGTGACCATGAAAAAGGGTTCGAAACGTTGGCAATTTAAAAATATAATGAAAAACTGAAAAACTGTTTCATTTCATAGTGTGTAATATTCACGTTAAAACACCAACTAAGTAGGGCTTTCATTCAAATGGTTTAATTTTAGGTCCACTACATCATTTTCCTAAACCAGATAGCGATATGGAAAGATTCGATGTCTGGAAAGGAGTGTTAGACAATGATACTATAGAAAAAGGAAATGTATACATTTATAATCAACTTCGATTATGTAATAAACACTTCGAGAATTTCTACAAATCACCAAGCAACAGGTTAACAAGAAATGCAGTTCCAACTCTATCTATTAAAGTTGGTAAGAATAATGACATAAGTTAATATTTTTATTGACAGATGTAATTAATTTTATTTATGTGTGTCTGCTTCAAATAAATAATCAGTGTCCAGTGGTACAATACTATGATTCCAACAGGTCCACGGCCTATAAATACCGCTAGAACAGAAGTTAATACTTACTTTACTTTATCTTTCACTTATCTGTTGAGGGGTTACATGTGGGACTATGCCATAATACCCTTACTACAGAGGTCTTTGACCAGATTTGGGATATATGGTTGTTAAAATAATATTCTTTATAAATTGTCACAGTGATTTTTTATGTTATTGCTTGTAGAAGACATAAATTTTATTCCCATACATCTCATACCTTGTATTCCCCATGTGTAAATACAAGTTATTATGAATATTTCAGGAACAACAACCTGCACCATTTTGGAACCAAGTTTAGAGGAATTTGATGATCAATCTTCCACATCAAATCAACCAATTACAGGTTATATATTTAATTGTAATTCTATGTAATTTGTAACTACAGGTTATCTAAATATTGTTTCATCCTAAATTACAGATCATACTCAATATCACTTATATATGAAGCCAGTTCTAGTTAACCTGTAATTTGAATTGATATACTAAAATATGATTTCATTTTGTGATTTTAAAAATAATTGTTTCACATTTGGCAAAAATTTAACAAAATATGTTTATTTCTTATGGGTAACACATAAAAATTGCTCAAATTCCCTAATTTTGAAATAGTTTCCTAAAATAAATCTTATTGTATCTTTCCTAATTATTCAAATCATAATTATCATTGTATGAGTTTTAATTTTCTTTAAAACTGCAGTGACTAACACATTAATTTATGATATAACAAATATTTGCATGTCATATATCATATTATATATATATTATTATTGCTAAACTTGGAGGTCTTGCTCCATAATCACCCAGTTTAAAGGCAAATAAAGATAATTATGTGAAATCACAATACACACAAACCCAAACATAAATTGTAACTCTTTCTATTGAGAAAAAAAAACTCAAATTATGAGAAACTTTTTGACATTACCTTATTTATTGCAATTTCGTCCCTCATTATGATAACATTTCTACAGTTTTCAGTATTTTTGTGTTATTTTAATTACTATAATATGTTTCAGCTACAATTCCCTGCGACGACACCACATCACCTGAAGTAATAATGGATGACTGTTACACTATAGACAGCAGACCTTCTAGAAAACCACTAAGAAATTGTAAATATAATGTTCTGATGACGATATTCAGAAATTTCCATAAGTTCAAAAATAATATCACAACCACAAAAATAATAACTTCAAAAAAAATTCTCAACTTACTATTTTCAGGTAAATGGAAGAGTGCACTGACATACAATTATGTTCAAATGAATACTTTATCCGCTAGAATAAAAAAACTGAGATCTGAATTAAGACTTTTGCAGAAGAAAAGGCTACATTTTAAGATGCGTCTGACAAGAGCTACAAAAGTTTCTGAAGATTCACCATTTCGACAAGTCACGAAAAATTTTGAAAAGCCTGCGCAAATACTTTTCAATTTACAATCGTCACAAACATCCAAAGGTATGTAGTTCATTATGAATTATAAATCCTTGCATTATCAATGTACATACAAAAATTAAATGGGCGGGTTCTTGACTGTATAAGTATTAGGTTTCATAATTATGTAATAGGTAAGTACCTATTACATAATTATGAAATTGGCGTTTTGTAGAACTGGCCACTGATCTTATTTAGGAATTCCAAATTCAAATATAGGCTTAATTTCAAATTCAGTAATTTATTTAAAGTAAATATAAAGCAAAAGCTTATACATATCCCACAGCTGGGCAAAGGCCTTCTCTGTACATAGGGTATTGGGGCATAGTCCATAACGCGGCCCCACTGCGGATTGGCGGACTTCACATATCTTCGAATTTTTTTTTATTGTTATTTCGAAAATATGCAGGTTTCATCAAGATGTTTTCATGTGATAAGTCAGCACCTAAAATTAACAATTTCATTGGAGCCGGCACGAACTCAGGACATTGACATTGGTCTGTTCACAATATGAAAAACCCAAAATATCGCGTTATTTACGAATACGAGTTCCACCGAGGTACTGAAGCAGCAGAAACAGCTCAAAGAACTAGTGATGTGTATGGCGAAACTACAGTAAAATAATATACGGTGCGTTTTCGTTCTGGAAATGTTGACTTACAGAACAAACCTCATGGTGTATTATGATTTGTAAACATTTTTTAGTAATGACATTAGTGTGGCAATCAGCCGTTAAACTTAGTGGCTAAATCGCCAGACCGAGAATGCCGAAGACAGCGGCGACAACCTTTTCGTACTTTTCTACAAATTTTTATGTTTAATGTTAAGTGCAGAGATTAGCACTATAAAAAAAATAATATATAAAAACCAATGGCGATATCTCTCGTTCGAATTTTCGTTGTAAAACGATAATCTAAATTGTTTGTATGCTGGAAAGAATATAACAATGAATTCGCCAAACATTGATTAAAATGCTAAAAAACAATGTAGATCAAAGACTAGAGCGTCAGGCCGCGAATGCCGAAGACGTGGGTTCGATTCCCACGGCGGCGGCAATCTTTTCGAACTCTTCTACAAATTTTAATGCTAATAACTTATCAATTATTTCACTGTTCAGTTATGTTTAAATTCAATGTTTGTTCTGACAGTTTTAAAGTTTGTATGTAACATACTATTCCATACACTACTTACACCATAAAAATATACCCATCAGAGAAATGTGAATAAAAATTTACTTATATTTTTTCTGAACTTGGAAAATATTAAACTTATTTTTTAATTTTAGATAAGTACTCAGTAGCATATGTCACCGTGCCAACCACAGATTTGGGCAAGACAATGGGTCATGGACTAGTCAAAAATAAGCTGGCTGCATGTGTTAATGTTATACCTGAAGTTACCTCAATATATAATAATGCAGGAGAGACATACGAAGACAATGAAGTAAGTAGAAATGTAATAAATTATAACTACTAGCACCAGTGTAAAGAAAACACAGAAAAACAAAGAGATTACACTTATAAACAAAAACTATTTTAAGAGCATGGCACCTCCGGTTCGTCTGGGTAAGTTGTTTTTGTGAAAAGTTGACAAACGAGCAGGTGGTTCACTTGATGTTAAGTGAATTCCGCCGCCCATGGACATCTGCTACACCCGAGGGTTGCAGATGCGCTGACAACCTTTGGAAAATTGACCCAAAACATGTAAGATATACTAGAAATCAATTATAAACATAGGCCATCTAATAGCATACTTAACTACATATTTATGTGTTACAGACACTCCTTATGATTAAGACACGCACATCTCAAGTGGACAGGCTAACAGAATATGTGAGATCCAACCATCCATATGATGTCTGTGAAGTGATATCGTTGCCGATAAACAATGGCAACCCACCATACTTGAAATGGATTGGAGACTCAGTCCCTGAAAGTTGAAAATCACTATACATGGTTGCATTTACAACTTGTGTTTTACTTGAATAGTGAAGTACTGTCATGAAAGTCTAAAGGTTGAGTAGCTACTTAATGAACACTTGATCTTGTCATTATACAACCAACTATTGAAAGAGGTATTTAAAATTTATAAAAACATATTTTCTTTGTAATAACAATTATTAAATTGATAAATGATGATCAATGCAATAAGCATTAAGATCTAAAAGGTATGTCATCTTTTAATGTGCTGTGAACATGAAGGTGAAATGGAAAATTTCCAAGGCTGATGTTTTGATGTTAAAAATTTGTAAATGTATTATTCATTTTTTTATAAAGCCAATTAATCTGTTGAAACAAGTGTATCATTTCAATTTCTTTTGTTATTTTTATGTGTAAAATTGGCTAGTGAATTAATTATTTTAAAAAATGGTGGCGGTTCACCTGGTGTGAAGCCTACCTAAACGAACCTAGGATTGTAGTCCTTGAGTGTATGAGTCCCGGGTAGAACATTTTTTTTTTGTTTTATTTTATTTGAAGGAAATTTTTATATTATATTCACCTCGAATCGCATCGACTAAATCCCGCAAAATATTTCACCTATAGTGGTCGTTTCTAACGAATGTGTGCACGCAAATTGACCGAGTAAAGTTTGTCTCAAGATAGGAATAAACATTTGTAGATGCGTTAAAGATATTCTGAAAGTCATATAGGAAATTCATACAAAAAAATGAACATTTTTAAACTATTCAAAATTCGTAAAAAGGAATAGGCATGAAGAATATAAGAAGTTGATTTGTTTCAAAAAAGAGTAAAATTTTCCATTAGCTTCAGGGTGTTTTTCGATCTAAAATTTAATTCCAATTCTATTCCAATTTTATTCGGTAAAGAAAAACTATTAATGAAATAATCAACAAGCAGAATCCGGCGGTCGCTTGTAGTTTTCGAGACAATAAAATATTTAAATATTGTTATTTTCACTAAATAAATCCGTCATTTTGTTGTTGACAACATCGTGTATAAATTTATGAATTCACACACTTTTACAAATGATACCCGCATTATTAAAAAAGTAATGTGTAAAAGTTAAGTGTTGTGCAGTGAGTTTTCTCGGTGGTTATAAGAAAAATAACCACGAAGGCTAACGCGGAGCTCTTTCTAACCTAATCTATCCAGTCCAGATATATAAAAGTACTCTTTGATCCAGTCGCATCGCTATGTGTCGGATTTGTGACTCATTAAATTAAAAAAGAAATATCGTTGCCCAATTCCTATATTTGTCATGTTGGCAGTACTATGTATTTAGTTTTTGAAGTCAAATTAGTAAAAGGGCGAACTTTCATAGTGAAAATAACGTCTTATATTTTTTTTTTCTCAAAACTAAGCGACCGCCGAATTCTACCTGTTGATTATTTCAATATCAACTTCACGGTTTTATACGTCTTATACTAATGGTTTAATATATTAGTATTTTCGTACACGCAGCCTTGTCTTGTATTAAGTCTTGTCTTACTGTTCTATTGCATTTCATAAAGATTGTGACGTCGTCTTTACGTTAAAAATATATCGAAATTGACACGAATTCGATACTCGCTATTAAAAATATCGACGATACATATCAATATTTTCTGCCCATGCCTACTTGACATTGACACTTCTCTTCCAGTTGAAGCGAGTTGAAGTTTGAAGTTTGACTGATCTGCGAAATCAATTTGTTAAAGTTTTACTGTGTTTGTTAAAGTGGAATCAACTGATGCAAATTCAGGCGATTTATGGCCTACGGTATAATGTTTTTAGGTCATAATAAAAAATACCTAGTGACATTTTATTTATCTATTATTAGACCCTGTTTAGTTCTATCCCAAGTAAATATGTCTTCTGAAAGTGTCGAAGCCGGTACGTAATATCTAATTGTAATAGAAAATTATAAGTTTCGAATAAGATTATTTATTAGTTTAATGTATTTGAATTCTACAATTTCTGTTTTTGAAATATTAAATATGCTTATTAGGGAAACATGAGTAATATATTTGTTTTTATTGATATTTGACCTTGAATAAAAATGTGGTGTTTTAATATTAATTTCAGATAAATACTCAGTTGCATATGTCACAGTTCCAAGCATGGATGTGGGAAAGACTCTAGGTAATGGTCTGGTCAAAAATAAGCTGGCTGCATGTGTTAATATTATACCTCAAGTAACCTCAATTTATGAATGGAAAGGAGAGATAAATGAAGACAGTGAAGTAAGTAGTGCCCTGAAATGAATGATAGGATTGATTTGGTAGCAGCAGTTAAAGGATAAAGTATTAAATAAATGACATCTAATTTACAGCATCTCTAAAGAAGGAAGAACTGCATTTGCATTATGAATATGTTTGCTTGCATTTTAAAATTCAAACCCATATCTTGTTTTGAATTTGGTTATTCAACCAATTATCATTGAACTCTCAAGATAAAGCTTGAAGCCAGTAAATTATACTGTAAACCAAATTAATGTTTCTTTAATTATATTGTTATGTATTTCAGGCTCTCCTTATGATCAAGACACGCACATCTCAAGTGAACAAGCTAACAGAATTTGTTAGATCCAACCACCCCTACGAGGTCTGTGAAGTGATATCATTGCCGATAAAGAATGGCAACCCACCATACTTGAAATGGATTGGAGAGACTGTCCCTGAAAATTGAAAATTGCCATATATGCAGTTGCATTTATACCTATAATTTGGTTTTATTGACAATTGGGAAACTAGTAATGTCATGAAAGAAGCATAGGAAATGGCACCTAGCAGTTAGGTTACGGCAGTACCAAACTCACAGTTAGAATTTATTGAGTACTCTCTCTCTATCTCATTATGCTACCAACTCAAAACACATTTTTATATATACAAAATATGTTTTATAAATACAGTTAGTGTTATAAAATGTGCAGTGTAATAAAAAATGAATGCTTAATTTCCAGTGCCAAAAATATTTTGTATAAAAAAATAATGAAATATGTTATTTGTTTCTATAATACACAACAGTCTGTCAAATGGACTTGTGTATTATTTTACTTATTGTTTTAATTATAACTTATGTGTATACATATAATACATTGTTTTTATGTGCAAACTATTAATCTGTAACTTTTCAACATTTATTTATGTTAAAAATTAGCAATAAATATCATTGTTGTTATTATGAACCTTTGCTCTATTTGTAGTTTTAAGTTATCTTTTGCTAATATAATAACAACATAGTTTCAACTCGGATGTTATAGTTAATACTGTTAAGGAAAATGTAGCAATAATTCTGTATAGTATTTTACATTTCACACTATGGTTTATGCTTCCTTTTATGAGTTCTTAGGAAAGAATTTAAAATTGATTGAAATAAAATATACTGTTCATATTACTGAGCCTTTTTTGCGACTCCACACCTACCAAATATCAGAATTTATTTATAATTGTTAAGCAATAAATACTGTTGAATTAATTTCCCATTTTGATAACTTAAAGTGCTCATTTTGTAGCAAAACAACACCGTACGTACTACAATATCTTACGATAAATTAAAAATAAATATTCTTGTTAGACGAAATAAAGGTTGTTGAATCTTTCGGGACTAGCTTATCTGTGGTAGGGCTAAACAGCAGCTTCGGCTGTTGCACGAATGGGCAGTCTCGTCCGTGACGTGGGTGTGTGATTATTTTGCGTTTCGTCTGGTGAGAGGTAGCCGGGGGCCACTAATTTGAATGCTTGTCAACGCATGCAACACCTCAGGAGTTGTAGATATTCATGGGCGGCTGTAAATACTTAACATCATGTGAACTGTCTGCTCGCTTGACAGCTTTTCACATGCTTTATGAAGTTTAAACACACCTACAGTGTTTAAGCGTAGCTGCATTCGCTGTTGAGATTCTCTCAGGGCGGCTCGTCCAGGAACGTACCACAGCCCAAGCAAAGTAATAACATAGGAATGTCACCGAAAGAAACGCAAAAGTAAATGAAAAAGTTTGAATTTGCACTGCAAAAAACCTTGTAAAGGTTCTCAGCGCGTCTGCATATACACTACGTTATCAACGGCCTAAAAATACCAGCCTGTACATATGTCCCACTACTAAGCAAAGGCCTCCTCTATACACCCTCTGTAACAGGGCGTAGTCCATCACGCGGCCCCACTGCGGATTGGCGGACTTCACATATATTCGAAATCTTTTTTTTAATATAATTTCGAAAATATACAGGTTTCTTCGCGATCTTTCCTTCACCGCAGAACACATGATAAATCGGCATTTAAAATTAACAATTTCGTTAGTGCCGGCACCGGGATCGAACTCAGGTTGTTCGCCATATGAATTTGCCAAATGTTAAAACAAATATTTTTGAAAACAAATATCAATAGCTTTGTGGCAGGACGCTTCCCCTGAGACATTGGTTTGTCACTTAATGCCAACGACTGCGCACACGCCTGTTAATTAAGTGTAAATTTTGTTATAAATCGATACCGATTATAATCCAGTGAAATACAAACCTGCCTACCATACGCAAAGCTCGGAGCTTTATCAACTACAAATAGTGGGAGAGGGAACCTCAGCGTAGCATACCTGTGTAGACGACGCGCGCCTACGATATTACCTCAGTGGGCGCTCCCCAAATTTTCTTTTTTTTTTTTAATAGTTTGGCTCTGTTATAATTACCCATTATTATTTGCATCTGAAACGGTACTTCTCTGCGTGATAGAGTAGAAGACTTCTGCAGTAGAACAGAGTTAACGGACATAGCTTAGAAGATTAGCAAGCTGAAGTTGCGATAGGCAAGCCATATAGCTCGTTGAACCGATAATCGATGGGGAAGAAAGGTTCTTGAGTGGCAGCCTCGTACTGGCCATCGCAGTGTAGGACGACCCCTCACTAGTTGGAGTGACGAATGTGCCGACCAATGTGCAAATATGCGGGAAGTCGATGGATGCAGGTGGCTCAGGATCTTGGCACCCTATGGGGGCGGCCCAGCGGACTCAAACATGTTGAAATGATGATGTGCAAGGCTTTACACAGGCATTTATAGAAAATAAAAAAATATCATACCATATAATTTAGTTTGGCGGTCTATGCTATGGTCGAATTTCATAGTTTTTTTTTTTTATCTAAACACGCCTAGTGAAACACTTAAGTTCTTGGGAAAATAGGTGGCGCTGCTAGTTGATTCATTTTGAATTTATTATTTATTTTTTGTACTCTTTAAATAAGGAAAATAAACATACTCATAACGTACATTTTAATGTAATATAGTACAAAGTGAAGAATAAAAAGTAAAAGTGATGTTTTTGGTGTTGCTTGGAGTACTGCAAATACTGCAATACCTTCCTATTTAATAATACAAACGGCCTAATGCGATTCAGACTCGCGCTCAAAGGGTTCCGTACCATTATCTATAAATATGGCAAAAAAATCATGTCTGTTGGAATCAGGCTGAATGGAACTATTTTTCAATATTTTTTTTATTCTGTATTTGAGTATTTTTGTTATAGTGGCAACAGAAATACGTCGTCTGTAAACATTTTAACTGTCTTACTATCACGGTTCACGAGATACAGCCTGGTGGCAGACGGACAGACAGACAGTGGAGTCTTAATAATAGGGTCCAATTTTTCCCTTTGGGTACGGAACTGTAAAAACTAGCTGTTCCCTGCGATTTCATGCGCGAGAAACGTTTCTGCTTTGCCCCCGTTATTCGTAACGTGATGTATAAAATATTACTTAAGAATTGGGCTATTATTTACAAAAAGATTTTTTCAAATCCTCCGGGTAGTTTCAAAGATTAGCGTATTCAAACCACTCTTCGGCTTTATTATATTTGTTTAGAAAAATAAGTATCAGTAGATTTTTACCAGACGACATGAAATAAAGATTTGACCACTATATCAATACAAATAAATTAATCTAATCTTTCAGTATATCATTCCTTCATTAATTTCCAATACATGGCTTTTCGGAATCTTCTGTGGTTGCATGCCTTCGGAATCCAAAAGAACATTAAAAATTTGTTGGTCGTTTATGTATATCAAGGGTAATTTCCGAAACAAGTTGGATAGAACCTTCGTTGACTTGGAAAAAATTTTACGGTTTAAAAGATGTGTATAGTAATCAAAGGCACATTTTATAGTCATCATTATTTATTCATTATACTGAACAAAGTTTTTAGAATAGAAGAGAGTTTCAATTACGATGAATTGCATTTTATATTCATTTTTAAGCGAGTAGCTGAATACAGACATGTGATATATATAAAGCATGGGCTAGACCCTTGTGAAGGTGGTGGTGGGAACTAAATATTTTGAAAATATCGGATATCTTAGGCATCTAGTACTTTTTTCTTTCACTACTGAAGAACTTACTTGCCTTAATAAAATTTGCCAATTAAAATACTGGTTATTATAATGGCGAAAGACAATTTTACAATTAGCAAAGAGACGAAACCGCAAATAAATGTATTATTATTTTGTTGCAGTCAATCAACATTCCATGCGGCTGTTGTTTTAATTACAATTAAAGCAACATTATTAATTAAGTTGTAAGCAATTTAAATGTTTTTTTTTTACGTAAGCTGGCAGTTCACCTGATGTTTAGTGATAAACGCTACCTATTGACATTCGCAACACTCGTATGGTTGCTGATGCGTTGCCGCCTAATTAAAAGTCCCAGCTACCTCACTCACTAGACGAAACGCAGAATTTTAACATTTACACTTTAGGCTTCAATAAGCGACGTAAATTACTTACATTCATGATTCCGAATTACAAAACTAGCGGACCGGGCAAACGTTGTTCTGTACACACGATTGAAATCCGATAACTTATAAATAAAAAAAAAACGAATTGTGAATCTAAACCATTCTCGAATTGACCCACAACAAATTTCATTAAACTCGGTGCAGCCGTTTAGAAGGATTTGTTACACGTACAGAACAATTATATATATAAAGATACCGATAATTATAATAGCAAATGGTAAGGAGTGAGCAAAAATAATGATTATCTGCTGCAATTTGAATATCATTTGATAGAAACTATGAAATTCATAGCATAATTTAACCTATCCGATATATCCGATTTTTTTCATAATTTATATCCGATCCGATCATCCAAACATTACTACCATGACGTCAACATGTTTTTAATTGCAAACCTGGTTTGATATCAAGCAAAGTGATTTTTAATTACAATTAATGTTGATGAGAATATTTTTAATTAGAAATGAATTAACCACGTCCACGTAACGGTTTGCGACTGCTTTAATGACAGTAAAATGGTAATTGTGAATAGGTAGTAAAAATTAGTAAATTATTAGAAATATTTAATGTTGCAATTCATCGTTTATGACTAAATAGCTACGCAAATCATATAAGCTTAAAAGTAGGTCTAGATATTTTAAATATGACGATTATTTTGTGTTGTACATTAAAGTTTTGTTAAAAACAAAGGATATAATCATTAAATTTTATGGCTTCTATTGTTGCGTTATAGTTTTAATTAAACGGAATTTAGTGAGTTAACACTTAATTGGTTTAGGATACCTGTATTGAAGAGACAAAGGGTAATACAATTAATATTCACTCATTAAAACCCTGTTTAGATAACGGTAATCTAGAAAAAACTCGAAGGCACAAAAAAGACAAAGAAACTTCGGAAACAATCCGTAAAGGCGCTATTGTCTCGGCCAATCATAGCCCGTAGACGTCTACGGAGTCTACAACGCCCCGCGACTCGCAGTGGGCGGCGTAGCGCTACGCGTAACGGGAAACGTTGACCTTTCGGGAACCTCCGCATTTCCCATCACAAAATTTATAATACGCACGCGATGAACATTTCGTGTGGCAACACCGTTCCGTTCGTTATGGCCCAGCACCGGGGGGCCGTGGGTCGGACGTAGTTCATAACCTCAGTCGTTCGCGTTGCGTTGCGTCGAACGAATCGGAGAGCGAGAAAAAAAAAACACCGCAATAACAAGAGCGGTCGTAGTCCAGCGTCGGTTTCAAACATCGCATCGGTGGACTTTGAGTGGATGCCCGCTCGGACGTTGGTGTCATGACAACGGTGCGCTCCGAAGGGAATAGGGAGTGTTGCTGACGCCGTGACTGGGGTCCGCGAAAATTGATGAGCCAGCGGGCTGGGACAGTGGGACTCCTCGGTGCGTGTATCGTGAGGGGGTGTAATGTTGGGCACGAGCCGTAGGTAGCGGGGCGCAGGCGCGGATCGATCGGGCGGCATCGAGCGGCGCCCAGCGAGCGGCCGCCGCGGCCACTAGGCGTCGAGCGCCGCCAGGGGTCGCGTCGACGGTGGACAGTCGCGCGCGGGCCGGCGTGCGAGCGCGCGCGTCGCGAGTGCATGGCGCGCGTGTCCGGATGCCTAGCGCCGCCGGGGGATGGCTTCGTCCGAGGAAGAGGTGACAACCGCGTCGTCAGTACCCGACGATGACTGCCTCAGTGTGCGCAAATGGTGGTGCTTCCTGCTCTCGTCGATCTTCACGTTCATCGCGGGCCTGCTGGTGGTGCTGCTATGGCGCGCGTGCGCGTTCGTCTGCTGCCGCAAGGAGCCGGAGCTCTCGCCGAACGACCCCAAGCAGAAGGAGCAGAAGGCGGCGCGCCAGGGCAAGCAGGAGTTCGAGGGGACGTTCATGACCGAGGCGAAGGACTGGGCCGGCGAGCTCATCTCCGGCCAGACAACCACCGGACGGATACTGGTGAGTCGACCGCCTTATCAATCGCCTCGCTATATCGCTCACGTCCCCTAATTCAGGTGCTAATTGCGTTGTTCGCAACGTACCGCTTGGTTCAAAGACTGTTTCTAGAATGCTGTTCTGTAGAGGGTTTTCGTTTCTTTCATAAAAATTTTGCAAACAATTCGGAAATAATGTAATTCTCTTTTTTTGTCGTTTATCGTTGCGCAATGCCGTCCATTAGATAATCTGTTTAGCTGCGTCGTCTAATACGTACGCACGCGTTAGAAATGGACACCCGCCCTACACTGCTATCGGTAGACATTTGTTTTTGTTGCGCAAAGTTATCAACTGCACTAGCGATCGTGCCGATCGATTTCGCCTTTAAGAATGTTATGCGAGAAGAAACATAACTGCCTCACCTCTGATTAAAGCCGATCATTCCCCACGAGTAATAAAATCGCAATAGTTCTAATGCAAAATCGCACCGTTTTAAGCGGCTGTTAAGGTTACGAGCGATAATTCGTTGTGACGCACTTTTATTGACGATATAAGAAAGCGGCTCATTATCGACGCACGTCTCAGCGGACTGGTATCTGTGTGCTTGCGTTAAATAAATCGTACCAACTAATGGAGGTTACTTACGAATTGCACTTTCAACTTCTTTTTTAACTACCTTCTTTTATCAGTTTGAATGCGATAGCTTCATCGTTGATGTTAATATTTATGCTTTAGTAAGCGTGTTACAATTAGTAGGAGGTAAATTAAGTAAAACATTTAAAAAAAAACACCGTGTGTTTTATCCTGAATTTATAAATGTATTTCTTACCTTATTGAACATTAAAATAAAGTGCCTAAATATTTGATTTCTTAAAATTTATATGTTTGAAAATAAGAAACTTATTTGCTTTTCAGCTAGTTTTTAAATCATTAACATTAATAGTATTACAATTCTGTAAGATTATAACGTAGAATGTTGATTGAGCTATAACAACTATAACTAATAAAATACACTTACGGCATTCGTTTACTGTTAAAAGTATTCATCAATTATTATCTCATATTAAGTTCTGAACAAATTTTAAATACTTTTTTTTAATGTATTATAATGTGTTTTTATGTATGTGTATTTAATTAATTACGTAATTAAACGTTACGCATCTAGTGACAGTGACAAAATATTCAATAAAAATGGCGAATTATGTCAATAAATATGTACATAACTCAACAATATAGATCGGAAATTCATTTATTATCTGTGCCGCCATGGAAAAGCCATTTTCCCCTACATTTCGTTGTTCGTTCATCATCTTGTCAGCGTGATTGATGAAGTGAGAGCCGATTTTTTCATCCGATGGCCGGGTGCACATGATATTCTGACGTATGTGACTGATTGTTAACGAATCAGTCAAGTTGACGGGATTAATATAAGATGTAAAAAAGAAGAAGAAGAAGGATCCAACGTTTTATTCGCATAAGATGTACAAGGGGGTGAGGGGTTATAATATAGTTTAATATATGTGACAATATATATTTTCTCTTTGATTATAATAATTGATTAATGATTGGGAGCGATTTTATTACAGTCTTCTATGAAACTAAATGAAAACTTTTCTTCTCTTATAATATTATTTGTGAAAATAAACAAGAAAAGATAAACAGGATCTAAAAAAAAGAAATGTTTGATTAATAATCGAACGGATTTTATGATTCATAAGAATATTTGTAAAAGCATAATTGTACTTTGAAAACTAAGAGAATATTTAGCCTTGCTCAGTATCACAATTAATAAGCCTGCTGTATAAGACAGTTCTTTGAAACACAACCTCTATTTTCTTAACCAAAAGCCGTACAATAATTACTTTGAGTAATATATCGAAACAATCCGTATAATTTATCTACAAACCGAATGCGTACTGTGTAATAAACCTTGAAAAGGCGTTCCACTAACAGCTTAATCCAAACAAGCAAACGAGATTAAGATCGCGCCACACCTCCAATTGGAGTAGCCAAGAAGCGGGTCACCAAATCTAACCTAACCTAATTGGAACATCGGACAATACATTAGCCATGAACTTATTCTTAAAAAACGATAACAAAACCGATTATTAATTATAAAAATTCAATTGTGCCTAATAAAACCAATATCATGTAAGGGCTATATTGTAGCTAGTGATGTAACACAACGGGCAGGTTCAGGAAAGTGCCACGCCTTACTAAAAACCGGCCTACCTTTTTAAGGGCTGGCACCACATCTACTACTCCTCAGGCGTTGTGGATATCCATGGCCGGAGGTAATCACTTATAATCGGGCGCGCACTTTCGTTGGCTAAATTTTCAATCAACTTCAAAAATCTCAATTCGCCTGTATTTTTTTTTTTGTTTGTTACCTCATAACTTTCAACTGAGTGAACCGATTTTGTTGATTCTTTTTTAATTTGAAAGCTGGTGCTTCCCATATGGTCCCATATTAATTTCATTGTTATTGGATCTTGGGGATCAATGGGAAAAAATGGATTTGTCACTTTCATGAATCTATATTGCTAAAGGGACGATTTGGTAGGAGTTAGCAGGAACTGGGAGTTTTTTAAGGGCGGAGGCACCTGGCAACACTGCCGAGAGAGCCCGGCCGCGGCCGCACGTGACGCGATGGTGAGACCCTGACCCAGTTCCGTGCTATCGATGCGATGCAACCCTCCCCCCGTAGTTCAAGTACATTGCTCCGCTCGTCTCCCATTGATTCTTTCCCCAGGATATTTGAGGTCTCCATAAACGCGAATGCTTCCTCCGATTAAATTAAAAAAAAACTAAGACACTGCCAGATAAAAAATACTACTCCCAAATAGAAATATAGTTCAAAAAAATAACGTGTTACACCACGAAATAGATTTGCGTTTTAAGAAAAGCATGTGATGATGAATTGAATGAATGTGATGAAACAGTGTGAAGCTTGAAAAAGGGTACATTCATTAGTAAACAGTGTTCAGTTTTTAATTGTTGGAAGATACATTTGTCTAAAATATCACATTACCAAGTTTACTCTAATTACATTAAGAAATGTCCTTCGACAAAAATAAGATTTAATAAAATGTTTTTTCTAAGTTTAAATTTTGTGTTCATATCTACTTAACTCATGATCTGTTGATTTTCTAAAAATATCATAATTTATTCTACATCATGTCTCGCAACTTTTAAGTGACACAGCGTACTAAGCACTTTCATATTGTATACTTAAATATTTTAGGATAGCAGTTCACATTATACTTTTATAGCCAAATTGCTATTTAAGTTATATTAGTGATTTTTTGTGGTTTTTTTTATGACCGGTTGAACTAAAAATATGCGATTTTTTAGAGTAAGGATAATGTTTTAGTCAAACTCAAAACTAATACTTCAATAATTGTTATACCTAATATTTTTTTATTATTTCGTATTATAATAACTTACTACTTTTAAATTATAATTATAGTTACTAATAATAAAAAAAAGTTCAAAGATAAAAGTTAAAAGCCATGATCATTAAGCTTCAAATGAAAATTAAAATTAGTGTATTTGATTTAAAGTCATATTTTATTTAATCAATTGAAGTAAATATCTTCAAGGCAAAATCTTATATAGCAATAAGCTGTGATTTCTGTCACTCGCGTATCCTTCGGGGCCTCTGACAGGTTTAATCAAAGGAAACTGCGACTTTACAAGCAATAAGGAAAATATTCTCCGCGTAGAAATCACACTGAGGAAATAAAAGCCGAAGCCACGAATAACGCGTTCCAAACAAGAATAGGAACGTCAATGAATGACCTGAAATGACTGCGATCTGTCAAGTGTTATTTCACAATTACGGCTTGCAAATGAAATTAGTTTTCCACTTTTGAATTTTATAAATAACTAGCGGACCCGACAGACGTTGTCCTGTACACGCGACTTAAATCCGACAACAACTTGTAAAAATGTAGTGGACCGAATTGTTAATCTAAACCATTCCCGAATCGACCTGAAGTCACACAAAAAATTTCATTAAAATCGGTCCAGCCGTTTAGGAGGAGTACAGTGACATACACACACGTACAGAAGTATTAAAGATATAAAAAGTGTTACCAAATCTATTGGTCATAATATGCCTATTTTTCTTTTAAATTAGTGTGTGGAATATTTAAAATACCTAAGTACCTAAATACATATTCTATTTTTATAGGGAAAGAAGCAGTCGTAATGATGATGATGATGACTACTAAAACAGTTTAAAACTTTTTCAAAAGTATCTGTTTCACTCCCCTATTTAACTTGTTTGCATTGACAGTTATGACGTTACAAGATGGCGCGAGGTCAGTCCTGTTCTTATTTGAATTGTATTGTATATAAGTAATAAAACGTAAAATGAAATCGTCACATTTTCCAACCCATATATATTTATACTATGGACTATAAAATAAAATGGACATCTGTTACACTTGCAGGTGTTTCATATGTGTTGTCAACCTTTAAATAAGTGGACCCCGGTTGCCGCACTCGCCAGACAAAACGTGAGAGTATAATACTTCCATTTCACACTGGTCTTTTGTGAAGTCGTGGTACTTTCCCGGACGAGCCTATCGATTATATATCGTTGTTGCGTGGACGTACCACAATAAATATGACACGAAAAAAGGCAAACGAAATATTTTAGGCCCAAGTACACGGAAAAGTACGAATTTGAAGTGTAAAATATAAAAAAATACGGGTAATGTCAAACGAACCGATAGTCTACGCACCGACGTACTAACGCTTGATAAAGTGCGAATATACTGTGTTAGTAGTAGTAGCAGTGGTGGTAGACTGACAATTTTTTCGTAGAATAACGCACAATATAAACACAAAAGCTAGCTTAATTTAATATTAAAAGTTGTAGAAATTTTATAGTCACCAAGTTGTGGGCCTTTATTGCAGATATTACCGATTTTATCAAATTAAACCGAACGCCTTGGTTTACATGAAGCCTTTATAAGTTATATTATGTTATAACAATTATCTATTGTTAATTTTAA